GATTTATATGGAGATGTGAGTTCTCAGGAACATAGAAAGATTATCTTCCATTGAAGATGACACAGTGTCAACCAGAAAGATTGGCATTACCAAGACAGAGACTGATACTGTGGTAGAAGCAGTTCTATGTTTTCACGTACATTGTTGAGGTATCGTAATGTTACTTATGGATCTGATTCTTATTGTTTTAAATATCTTTTGTTAGCACTTACTACTTTCCAGAGTTTACTGAGCCCTTTATATACATTAACTTAGTTAATATCACAAAAACACTATAAAGAAGGTCAAGTTACTACTGGTAATTTACAAATGAGGAAATTGAGGCTTAAAAAGAACACAGACCTTATACAAGATCTCATAAATAAGTTATTCAGGATTTAAGTGCTAGTCTTATTTTTCACAAAGCTTCATTGTGCCCTTAATTAATGAACTAAGTTTTATTTATGACCTTTTTATGTTGTTTCCAGTAGTATAACCTAACTCTGTCTTGATGGAAATTTCTGATCAGTATATTCAAAGTATGATTCCTTCAGGAATACAGGTAGTCAGAAGTAATTTTTTGAAATCCCCAAAATAATTTATCCAGCTCATCTCACTTTGAGAGAAACATGGAAGGAAATATTACAGCATTGAAATAGCTCTAAATTTTCAAGTTTTGACCCAAAGGGACCCAGGAACCAATAAATTTCCCAAACAAATTCAGAATGAGCTTACTGGGAGCCAGGATCCCCGCTAAACAGTTGAGTCAGACGGAGTCTGATAGAGAGCCAGTTGCCAACCCTACCCCCAAGGTTCATCTCCCCATTACAAACCTCTCTCCTTGGTGAGCTGTGGTATTAAATGGAACAGGCTGCATTCAGTGATAATGCCTCTAACATTTTAACTGCATTTTTTACCTTCGTATCTTCTGCTTTCCAGAATTTTCTACTCGATTTTGTATGGCAGCTTATATTTACAATTAAATTTCTACTTCATCAGTTTCTCTCTCTCTTACACAAACACACAACCCTTAAGTGACTCCAAGTTGAGTTAGACAAATAACTGCTTAGACTTTTCAGTCTCTTCTTTAGTGGTACTCTCTCTCTCTCTCTCTCCCACACACACACACACAAACAGTTAATACTACATGACCCATGGAGGGCACATTTGGAGGCAGGTGAGGTTTCCTGTCTAAAATTCTCCTGTGAGGGCAGGTCACGATGAATGGCTCTCCACCCAAGTGCTGTTAACAGTGTTTTTAAAAATCAATCCATGGCCTGTTGGACAATGCTGAACATGAAGGTAAATTGTTCTCTCTAAAATAAAGAATGGATGTTCACTGTAACTTCTGAATCCTGAAATCAATTAGAAATCCATTGGCATTTCACTTCCTTGTTACTGCTTCTCAGAGATGTTTGGCCTCAAGCAGGGCTCCAAGGCAATCGGTCTCAAACCATGCGCTTAACTCCATGTCATAGCCTAATGTGTGTATGCATGTTGGGATATATGAGGAAACATCTGATGGCTCATTAATTCATTATCTTTGAACACCTGGAACATACTTGTGTTAAACAGGGTGTCTCTGCAGCCTGGTTGGTAAGATCTGGTGAAGAAAACAAGGCGCAGCCCTGAAATGGAAGACTGATCTGTCTCGGAAAGCTCTGCAGACCATTGGAAAGCATAGGCCAGGGCCTGGACTACACTAGGCAGTAAGGGAATCAGGCCATATCTTTACGAACAGAGCAGCGGATAGGAGAGAGGAGGCTGCCCAGGGATCATGTTCCTCTCCCATATTATTGAGTACTTTCTGCGCAAAGCTTTGCCATTGTTATCAGGTGCCAAAGTGTCTACAGAAACATCAGAGAGATGTCCCCAAAAGCCTTTTATAATTATCATAAAGGAAAATTTAATTTACTTGGCAGCAATATATTGAAAATCTAGACGGACAAACTAGAATCTGCAGAGACTAGGAGAAGACTAAATAAACTGCTTGTTCTTAAAGAATTAACCGACTACCAGCAAGGAATAAAAATACTAATAGATGATAATTTTTGGTGTCCACTAAAAGAATTTGAAAAAGCTCTCTTTTTTCCTACATATGTAAGCAAACATCTTAAAAATATTCTTTAGTAGTTTCAATAGGTGTAAAAGATATAATTTTTGTATCTATAAATGTTGGCATTTCAAAATTATTTATGTTAAATATTAAATGCATCGATAACAATATAGATATAGTAATTGACACTGTTATCATTAAAAAATACATGATCTCCTTTTTTAAGAGTTGTTAGTTGCCTTCAAGTCCGTTCCAACGCCCAGCGACCCCAAATATGCAGAGTACGACCGCTCCACAGGGTTTTCAAGACTGTGACCTTCTGAAAACCAATCACCAGTCTTGTCTTCCAAGACATCTCCAGGTGGATTTGAACTGTCCAACTTTTTGCTAATAGTTGAGTGGTTAACTGTTTGTACCACCCGGGGACTCTTTTTTTAAGAGTTAGATACTATAAAATATTCCTTTTTTTCTCTTGTATTCATATTTCCATTCCATTTCCCCCAAAAAAACTACCCTAATGGAATATACTTTTATTACTTAGTGTATTTCATTGATTATTTTACCCTACTATTAATAAATCAAGTATATAAAATTACAGTTACTCTTAGTAGAGAAATCATTTAAAAACATATATGTACAACCAAATCAAACCAAACCCGTTGCCGGCGAGTCGATTCTGACTCATAGCGACCCTAAAGGACAGAATAGAACTACCCCATAGAGCTTCGAAGGAGCCCCTGGTGGATTCAAACTGCCGACCTTTTGGTTAGCAGCCATAGCACTTAACCACTATGCTACTAGCTATACATATCTATTTACCTATCTATCTATCTATATATACGTATATATATGCATATATATATTTCCACTTTTGATAAATAATAAATACACATAAGTTTAATCTTTAAATTTGACTTTTAATGAGTTGAGAGTCATATTTATGATGTCTTGATGAAAGGAATCATAGAATTACCCAAATTGTTTAGCCCCTCAAATATTTTTATCTCTGGGGTAAGGGATCATAGTAAGATTTCCAAATGGCGAGATGTATGCTTTTCATCTGTAAAGCAGAAAGAGGGCAGACTGTGAACAGGAGGGCCAAAAAGAGCCAAGAACACAGGTGCCTTAGTCAAATCGGTTTCAGAAAGGAGCAGGTATGCACATGGAGGACTGATAAATCAATTTCATTAAAATTATCTTTGGCCACATGACCCTTGGTGAGTCTTTTTATGTGGTCAGGAATAAGCACACTCCAATTTGAATTCCATTGGCAAGGTGAAGTCATGTATTCAAACTAATTTAGCCATAGATAAGTCAAATAAACCAAGAAAAAATAAATGATTTTGAGGATACAGCTGAGCTCAGACTGCCATTCCCATAAATGAATTCATTAGTTAGGTTACTGTTCTCAAACGTGGTCCACTGTAATCATCCGGAGAGCTTTAAAAATCCTGATGCCTGGATCTCTCTCCCTCAGAGTTTCTGACTGAATTGGTATGAGGTGCCTAGGCATTGAGATGTTAAAAACTCCCTAGATGATTACAATGAACAGCCAAGTTTGAGAATCACTATTTTAGGCAACTTACAATCCAGCAAGGAAAACAAGGGCTACTGAGGTACCCTGAGGATAAAATGTATCAATGATTTTAGGTTTTTCTCCTCAAAATTGAGAGTTGTGGAAACGATTAAATAGATGTTGAACTTGGATGGCAGAGAAACTAACTGAAGGTCATAGAAAAAATTACTTTTAAAGAATTACAGAAATTGATAAAATAATCTAGAAATATGTTGTTGTTCATTGCTGTTGACTTGATTCTCACTCACGGGGAACCTATAAACGCAAAATTGTATGAGGAGTAGAACTGCTCCATAGGGTTTTCAAAATTTATGGACAAAATTTGGCAGAATCTTACAGGTAATTTTATTTCTATGTCATTTTTCACTTTATTGATGTTGAGATTCAAATCCTAGCTTCATACACAACTTCACTGCACCTCTTTTCCTTTACCAATAATGGGGTACTTAAATATTCAGCTTACTTAGTGGTAAATATCTACCATAGTTAATGTTCTCACTGATACATTTAACTCCTCATATAGTTTCTTCTGATTTTGGTTTAATAAGCACATTGGAACTACTATAAATCCTGAGGTTTTATAAGAGCAGTAAAAGAAAAAACTTACGTGTTGCCATTGTAAGCTATCTATACATATATGATGAATTATAAATAAATCTCTTCTCCTACCACCATCTTTCAGTGAAGAAGAAGAAGGTGATCTACTTTACTATTACATTATATGGTAGCATTACAGTTATCCTCAATAAGGGTTCAAATCATAACTTCAGAGTTGAAATTGAAATAAAAGACTTTGTGATACCAAAATTGAGTACATTTAAGTAACATATGCATTAAAAATCCAGTTGCCTTCGAGTAGATTCTGAATCATGGTGACCCCATGTGTATCAGAGTAGAACTCCATAGGGCGTTTAATGGCTGATTTTTTGAGAGTGGAAATCTGGCCTTTTTTTCAAGGCATCTCTGGGTGGATTCCAGCCTCCAACCTTTTGCTTATCTGTTGGGTACGTTAACCATTTGCATCACCTAGGGACTCCCATCATACGTATATATGCAAAGAAAAGATAGTGGCAGCAAAAACACTGAACTGTTACCAGTGGTTGTGTAAAGTGGTTTATTTTAGATAATATTTAATTTGTTTTAACCAAGATCATTTCTTATTTTCTAAAATTAGAAAGAAAAATAACTTTTAAGAAGATCATTCTGAAAGTAAAAGACCCTCTTTCCTGGGGAAAGAATGGCAGGTAAAAGCTAAGGTGCACTTTTTATCCATCTGATGACATAATTCAAGGTTGACAAGACATCAGTGGTGGTCTTCCTTCAACACTGGCAGGGGCCATGAGAGTTAACATTTTTATTCTTCAACTGCAGCAACATCCACTGGAATAAATGGCTGCTGGTAATATCACTTATGTCACTGAATTCATTCTCAAAGGAATTACAGACCGGCCAGAACTCCAGGCCCCATGTTTTGTGATATTTTTAGTCATCTCTCTGGTCACAGTTCTGGGGACCATTGGATTGATTATCTTAATCAGGATTGACACTCGACTCCACACACCTCTGTACTATTTCCTCAGTCACCCGGCCTTTGTAGACCTTTGTTACTCCTCTGCCATTACCCGGAAGATGACGGTGAACTTTGTTGTGGAACATGACACTATTCCTTTGCATGCTTGTGCAGCACACCTGGGCTGCTTTCTTACCTTCATGAGCACCGAGTGTTTCCTTTTAGCCTCTATGGCGTATGATCGCTATGTAGCCATCTGTAGTCCTCTGCATTATTCACTACTGATGTCAGAAAGAGTCTGCATTCAATTAGTGACCGTTCCATATATATATAGCTTTCTAGTCGCCCTCTTCCATACCATTGTCACCTTCCGTCTAACTTATTGTGGCCCCAATGTAATTAACCATTTCTACTGCGATGACCTTCCCCTCTTAGATCTGTCCTGTTCAGACACACACGTGAAGGGAATTCTGACCTTTGCTTTTGCTGGCTTTGATACGATCTGTTCCTCTTCGATTGTACTCATCTCTTACATCTTTATCATTTCCGCCATCTTAAGGATTCGCTCCACCCAGGGGCGACGCAAGGCCATCTCCACCTGTGGTTCCCATATGGTGGCTGTCACAATTTTCTATGGCACACTAATCTTTATGGGCCTACAGCCTAAATCAAACCACTCCCTGGACACAGACAAAATGGCTTCCGTCTTTTACATGGTGGTGATCTCCATGTTGAACCCTCTCATCTATAGTCCAAGGAACAAGGAGGTAAAAGAAGCCTCGAAGAAAGCCTGCAATAAAGGTTGTGAAGCTTTAAAGATGTTGCAATTAGGAAAATAATTACAAAAATACTTTGTTAACTGAAAGTAGGGAAAGAAGTCTCTTGCTTATATTTCTTATAATTCTTTCCTGACTTTAAATGTGACTGTTATTTCCACAGACATTGTCATTTGTTGGAGTATCGGAGCCACACTTGGAAAGTCAGTATGTTTTAGATTCCTGTTCAGGCAACCAAGGCATTTACAGACTACTAAAATTGTGTTCAAATACAAACAGACATGCACACGAATACACACAAATGTATCCCAAGCAAAAGCAGCAGCGTGTTTTTGTTAGCACTTGGGGCTCAGAAATAAGACTCTAAATAAAATAACTGGAAGAATATGGTTCAAAAGAAACTGTATTTTTAAATGAGTAAGTTCAGTGTATTTGCATATTTTTTTTAACTTAGAAATAATCTGCACTTATTCAATCATCCTTGTAGGATCATTACATGTATTTAAAAACTAGTTATTTGATATGCTTTTATTATTTTGACATTCCAGAAAAAGTGATTAAAAATTAATGATTTAATATTATCCTACTATTTAACCATTTTAGAAGGTGATATTGCTTGGCTGCTAACCCAGTTGCTGGCAGTTTAAACCCACCCAGAAGCTCCAAGGGATCTGCTTCTATAAAGATTACCACCTAGGAAACCTTATGGGACTGTTCTACTTATTCTCACAGGGCTGCTATGAATTGAAATCGATTTGGCAGTACTAACAACAATGTGCTCAAGAGTAATAACGATTACGAGGATGGCACAGGACCAGGACTGGGCAGTGCTTCCTTCTGTTGTACACAGGGTAGGTATGAGTCGGAACCAACATGATAGCACCTAAGAACAACAACGAGTTTTATCTGAGCAGTTACTCTATATGCATACGGGGAGACCAATCTGATTCCAGAAAAAAGTAAATGGCTCAAAGTAAGCTAGGTAGGATGAGGCTTACAAAGAGAAGAGGAGGGAAAATATAAAATATCAACAATTGGCTAATCTCAACATGATTCTTCTTTGTTCTTTGTTCTCCTTTTACTGAGATAGGCTTAACAGGTCTCTGGCCCACCACCCAGCCATACCTTTT